TGCTTTTTGCAGAGTGCATGTGTTTTACATACAGTGCAATCACATGGCTGGGCAGCTATACATTCCCTGCCTGTAAATAACAGCAAGTGGAGACAGAAAATATTTATTTCTGTTCATAATTAAACATGACCCTACACATCAACCAAGAGTTATGGAGATTTTGTTTGTTTGTTTGAAAGGAGCCTAACTGAATTAGACATCCATCTTAACTGAATGCCTTCCTCTAACAGAAGCAGTTATGCAGAAGTCTAACAAGACTGAATTCATAGCCTCAGATATTTTCTACATTTAAGTTTATAGTGATTACATGGCACTTCTAAAGTGAAATGTTAAGTTTCAGGAATGAGAGCTCATTCTTAAAATGAGCAGGAACACTGCTTCCTTCACAAATGTAATTTATGTCTGATGGAAATGGCTCATTTCCCCCCCCCACATTGACTGTAATGACACTGATGAATCAGTAATATTATAATGTATGACTATTGTGTAAATCAATCCTTCAAACTTGTATTTTAATGCATACATAAATATGACTACTTAACAATGAGAAATTAAAATTAATACAAATTTCTGAAGCCTACACATACTGAGAAAGCTCTAACTGTAATCAGTTAGAATGTAAAATCAGTGCAGTTATTCATTCAGGAAGGCTCCTTGGGCTGGCATGTTTCTTCAGAAAGATCTCTGAAGATGGTATTGCAAACGTATTTGATAGAGTTGTAACCCCCTGAAACCTATACAGCTTATCTGTCAATACCTTTAAATACATGCATCAATCTTTTTCTGAAGACAAAAATTCTCTTCAGAGCTCCAGTCTGTAAATGTTGCAACATTCAATTACACAAATACTGTATTTCAGAGAAAAAAAAAATGCTAATTGTTGAAGTTACAGGCTTACAGGAAAGCCTGTAACTAAGAATTTCATTCTTCTATTGCTGCTGTAATGTTTACAGCAGCAGAGAATGTATATGCAGTCTCTGGCTATATAGTCTGTAGCTATATTTTGAAGCTCTTTCCAACGAGAAACCCAAAGACATAACCTACATTTTATTGCCCACTAGTCAACATCACTGCTTTCTCAAGCCAAAGTTACTCTATTAAAACAGTCTCAGGTTAGATGCTGACTTATTGGCTAGGCAACATCAGCTTAATGTTGAGCACTAACAAAACCAAAAGTCAACAGATTTGTGCTGCAACTTGTGAACAAAGCAGACATGCACGGAGTGGCATCAAAACATACCTTGTGGGAGGGCTCCAAAGTCCTGCACACTTCCAGGTCTCATGAGGGAAATCCAAGAGCAAGCAGATTTTAATCACACACTGTGACTGGCAAACGGGTTAGCAGGGCTGCTGCGGCCGCTGGTGACCACATCCACAGCCCAGTGCGATCGCTCGCGGGGAAGCAAGGATGGACATTGCAAGCAGAGCTGAAGTGCACGTGCAGGGCTGGGGAAGGAGGCATGCAGCAAGTCTGTGCACCTGCCTAGCCACTGACAGCACTGCTTTTCCTTAGCACCCTCCTCTTTATTATTTTCAGAGATGATCTAAGTGCAGTGGAGCTGCTAAACACAGATCTCTATTGCAGCAAGCCAGTCCCCTGCGCTCAGCGGACGGCCCCGCTCCAGGGCACTCCTGGGTCCTACACAGCCGAGGCAGCATGAGCAAGGGCAGGGACTGCAGGAAGCTATGGAGAGCACCAGAAAACATACCTTCTTATGGACAACGGAGGAAGTGGAATTAATGGTGCTCTCGTCACTATGCATCATGACCAGTTCAGGGCTGCTCTCATCCAGGACCTCCTGCATGCTGCTCACACTGCTGCTCTGACTGCCTGTGCTCACAGACATGCTCGGGATGGAATGGTTGCTGCCCAGACTGTCCATCTTCCTACTCAGGTTTGATCCATGCTCACTGTCCTATAAAACAAGGGGCATCAGTTACAAACACTGCAGGAGATGAACTGCCACCATGTGTCTGCAGTGTACAAAGTTTCTTTGCTCTTTATTTTGGCATCTCCATTTCTTGAGGCCAGTTGGGTTATGAAATATTCCATATGGGGCAGTTGGGTTTCACCTTTTTCCCTGCAACCTTAACACTTCAGCCTCCAAGCCAGATTTTTTCAAACCAGTTAAGTCTGGGCATGAATGCTTATGGCTTGAATTGGAAACATCCAGGAATATTGGATTGCTGGTGAGTGTTACACCTGAGACAGGAGCAATCCTTCCTCTACTTCTGTATTAAAAACACTTTTTTGAGTCAGAGCATGCCACAACACAATGTCGTGAATGAGAAGAGATGCAACACTGGTCCAAACTGTTCATGATTTGATAAGGATCTTATATTGCTTAAGGGTGTTGGAGTTGTAAACTTCCATGTCCAAACATTTAACCATATGTGCCCCAGTTGTCATATTCTGTCAAGCTAAAACAAAGTGAACCAAAAACCCTTAATCTTGTACTGTCAATTAAGATAAATTCTTATGTAATCTTCATTCATCTTTAAACAGCTGACTCAAAAGAGCCTGCATTGTTATAGTAATCAAAATTGTTGAAATCAACTTGGATGTACCTAGATAAAGATTCCTCATACGTTTTTTTATATATATCAGAAGGCAGCATCTCAGCTTTTCTTGCTTGCAAACTTGGTTCGGTAATCCTATGGTATGAGCTTAATCTGAATGGACTTAAAGAATTTATGAAGTCAGTTGTAATAAACTAGGGGAATTGAAGATGCTTGCAAAGAGTTCATAGTGAGGACTAGACCTCTGGAATACCCTTCAGTTCCTTGTCCAAAATAGCCTTGCTTCACCAGAATGAAAGGCTTGTTTCTAGACTCAGCTTGCCCTGGCCTTCAAAGAGAGCTTGGCAGGAATTACACTACAAATCAATTAATAGAATATTGCTTGTGCTGAAAACTCAAAGAAACTTGACAGATTTGTATTTGATTATGTGATTTGTTTTTTTTTGAAAGCAATTAGCAGATTATTCAGAGCCTGGGTAAGGGCACTTTTAAAATCTAGAATGCAAAAGAATGATATTTGATTGACAACATATGTACATGAGAAAGAAAAGATTTCCAGGATGCTTATATAAATTTGAAGAAGAAATAACATAATGAAGCATTTGAGATGAATGACTATGTCATTAATGAATACATATGCACAAAGGACAGAGCTGAGATGGCATATGCCACCTTCACATTGACTTTCTGACTTGAATACTTTACAGATGTCCTAAACTCTCTTGCACCAGCTTGGAGGAAAGCAGGTAAGCAGTATTTTGAGTGTTAAAGATTTATAAAGCCCCTTTTCCACGTCTTAGATTTTCTAAGGTATAGAAAGGAATGGGCTTGGGGCGTTTGCAGCTGACCAGTAAGTAGTAACTGAAGCAGATGCTGTTTTCCCTTCACTGCCAAGTTAGTGATTCAGGAGCAATCCAAGGGCCCTGCGTGGTGCACGGTGCGGGCCATGCTGTGCACGTGCAGAGCCCGGGCGTCGTTAGAGGTTAATTCGCGGACAGGGAATTTCCTTTCCCCTTCTTTTTTAGGGGTGGGGAGAAGGGGAACGGAAAAAGATGCCTTTGGGCGTCAACTATTGCCATATCCATTCCATCTGGGCTGCTAAGCTCAGATCTGCCGAAGAGTCACTTGGGGGAAGCACCCCTGGCTCTGTCCTGTCCTCGCATTCTCCTAACAGATTGTCACACACAGGCAAAGCCTGAAAATTTCAGTGTAAAGATGTGAAACCACCCCTGTTTCTCCCCCATACACAGGGTTGATGCTTAGGAATAGACTAACAAGAGGGTTAGAACTGAAGCACTTCTGTAGCATTAACTGCACCAGTTGCTTTTCTTGCTGCTCATTTTTTTTGTTTATATTCCATCTTCCAATCAAGGGCAGTTTATGCTGTCATGTCTCTCTATGTTCTCATGTCTGACGCCCAAACTTGCCCTTTCCTTAAGCCAAAGCTCTAGTACAGCCTTAAAAGAGCATGTGGCATACACAGGTCTCAACACCAGATTCCAAATACAAGCTGGGCTCACATATCGCTCTCGCTGTTTTCTTGCTATAGTGCAGCAAGAAAAAGAATACAGACATCAGTTTGCCTGGGAGCTTGTTTTCTACTGAGAACCAGTCATAGATTTATGTATCGAATGTGCCTGCACCAAGTGACATTAATTTCCATTTAATCTCATCAATTGAAAAATGACTGGTTTCCTTCTCTAAGCCACAGTCAGTGCCAATTATCATACACTGATTAAGTGGGCTGTTTGTTACGAGATTTAAATTGAAACAAATTTATGTCTTTAATCTGTTCTTTTTTCCCCCCTCTTTAACATTATAGAAGTTTTAGAAATAAGTCTTACTACTTTGATGATTTGTTTTTCAGCAATTGATAGGCCAATTACTTAATGTGATAGTTATAATAATAGAAAAGACATTTATCAACTGATCTTGATGTGCTTCTGAGACTGAAGAGCTTGGACTGTCAACAGACCCTCGCTCACACAGCCTCTGAATGACTCTCATCAGCACAGGGTCTGCCCTGAAAGGAGTTTCCTCCCTAAAGTTCTCAGATGAAGGGCCACCATTTGGAAAATACAAAAACAAAAGGGGTTTTTATCTTGCCAGTAAAGGCACATCTCACACTCCGGGTCATGGTTGCTGCCACTCGTTATGCTACCCTGGTCTGCTGATCCAGATGATACTGCAACAATCTCAACTGTATCCACTCCTAGGCTGGGTTTATTCTGCCCCATTAAGGACAAAATCATCTTGTTTTCTCTAAAAGTATTTAGAAAAGTACAAAGGGAATGAGAAAATAGCAGTACCTCCTCTTCCTCTTGAGACTCGTTCAGCGGGCCATTCCTCGTCTCCTGGAAGAGGATTTTCTTCATTTTCCGGTACTGAAGGTTATCCAGTTCTCGTACTGCATCTTTTGTCCTCTGTATGAGGTCTATTAGTACCCTTGGCGGTCGATCTCGGCGAACAAAATCGTGCTAATTTAAAGGGAATAAAGTACATGTTTTCACATATGACACCGAAATTAGTGTTCATGTTAAGCCTATATGCTTTATTCTTAAGGATTATTCGAGTAATATCAGTTCAAAGAATGCCACCCCAAGGAAACTGTAAGGCAGATGCACAAAAATGAAAACTCAAAAGGCTCCTGCACAGTAAAACTACAAGTCCAACTGCTTATTTATCGTTCTAGGTTCCATATATGAGATATAGGCACCACTCTGCTAGGTTCTGTGCAACTCTAAAGTAATGCCTGAAAGGATTTAATCTATGTGCTTTTTTCTTAAAATTTTAAGAAAAAAAAAAAAAAAAAAAAACACACACACACATACTGGAAGGGAGGAAGAAGTTTATCAAGAGTCAGGTTGGTTGGAAGAGAAAATGCCAGAAGCCAAGTCTCCTGGTAACGTCATGCAAACCACCAATAACAGGAAGTGTTTAAAACAAATTTTACTATTTCTATCTTACAAGTGTAAATATTAGTGAGATGGGTACTGTCACTTTTGCTTTCCTCCCTTAATTTCAGCTGCATTTTCAATATGACTACAGTCTTTTGACAATTTTCATCTAGGACACTGAGTCAAAACTGAATTAATTTTCAGGCACCCCATACAAAATTCAGGTCCCTTTAAGAAAATGTGACCACCAAAAAATTCAGTCTCTCCCTGTTTACTGTGCACAAGCACAAAAAGCTCGAAAGGCAAAAATGTGGTCTTGAATCCTATAAGGTGCTATTTAGGGAGACCTGCTGCAGGAGGGAACATCTGGGGTACCGCTCCGAGAGCGGAAAAGCGGATTACAAGGCTAAATATCCATCAGCTGAGAATGACATCTCGGCTGCGATTGTTTATGCAGCCTCCAAGCGAAGGTACTCAAGAAATCACATCCCTCAATGAGCGTACACTGTTCCTAGAGAGCAGCAGGACTGCCAATCCACATGAATGAATCATTCGGCAGCCCACAACATAAACCTATTAGCTGGTCAAAGGCTTGTCAGGGTGCTGCGAGCAGGAGCGGAGAACAAAACGCTGGGTATGTGCCACAGCACAACATAGCACGGGAGGAAAAAATATACCAGCGCCGAGGGTGAAAAACAAGCTCATTCATCAGCCTCTACCTGGAAAGTAAAGGCATTAGGGTTAAATATTCCGTATGGTCCAGGCTTAAAGCAAAGGCACGAGTGAGTGCATAGCTAACTGTTCAGCACGGAGGGCACGGTTTCGATTTCTCACTTCGGAACCAAGACACGGAGAAACATCCATGAGAACGCATTTTACTGAGCTGAAAGAGCAACAAGAGAAGCCATAAAACAAAGGCTGAATGGTAGCCTTAGAACAAAAATCAGCATCAAAAGCTGCCAGGTAGGCACACAGCAGCCATCCAGCCTACTGTGGACATTAAGCAAAACACCCTGTGGAGCTAGCAATTCCTCTGCTCAAATATTTAAGGAAAAACTGAGTCCTGTTTACCTGGTGTGGAACAGCAGCATGCCAGGCAAATTCTCACCAGCAGCTATGTACGGCAACCAGAGGAATAGCAGGGCCACTAATCAATTTTAAAGAAAGGAAATACTTAAGAGGGAAAAAAAAAAAAAAAAGAAAAAGAAAAAGCCTGATGGAAAAGGGGCTGGACAGGATTTCACACATCGCTACCTCCTAAAGGATTCTGCTCTTGAATTTCCCAAAGACAAAGCCCCAGAGTCACAAACATAGCTCCTCTGCTCCCCAGGTAAACTGCAGCCAGGTGGCTTAAGAAGCTGCAACTCTGATTTATGATTCATTGACAGGTAACACGGATAACCCAGGGACAGTACCCTGCCAGCATGGGTGTCCCTGTCCTAGCTGCTCAGAACAGCTATGAGCTTGCACTAGGCCCTTTCCAAAGGGACATGGTTATCCCCAAAACACCTGCTAATTGATCAGACCTTAGTAGAGGAACTCATGAGGTGATATAAAAAGCAGCTACCAGTAAAAAGGTGATGGTTGGATTATACAAAGTTAACCTAGCCCTGTCCTTCAGTGCTCCTTATAACTTTGAGTTCTGGGCTCGATGCATGAACATACTAAAAAAAAAAATAAATAAATAAATCCGTAACTTAAAGATGTTAATGAATCAAGAGCAATTGCTTAAAATCCATCTAAGACAAATGACTGGGAAATGGAGATCAAAAATGCAGACTAAAAATCAACACTGTGTGGCTAGTGAAATTGAAAAAAAAAAAAAGTAATGACTGGAAATGAACACTAAAAGCAGATGCAGAGTATGCCTGAAGTCACGATTATTAGCAGAGCTCTACAGGTGGCACTAGTCAGTAAATTGTCAAGGTTTCTGAGCAAGGCAGCAGCCAAAAGCACAAAGCACCCAAACGCCACGACGCTGCAGAGCAGCCCCGGCCCTTCCCAGCGCCTGCAGCGGCACCTTGTCACGAGCACACTCATCCCAGAAACACCCGTCCAGCCAGGGGGGCTTCAAAGGGAAAATACAATAAACCAAAGATCAGAAATACTCCAAGGAGCACTTTACAGAAGTAGAGCAAAACCAAAAAGCTGAACTAAGAACAGGCATAAAGATCAGGGAACAATATGTACTTGAAAGGTGTAAGCACATGAAGAATAATGGTGTTGATACAGGCATTACTGGAAAAATCCAAGACAGAAAACCTTCCTGAACTTTATGAGGTGAAAGCAAAAAAGAGAATATCGGCCACTTCAGAGTGCCCCAAAAACAACTGGCTCTGGCCGAGGATGACCAGGCTTTTCCAGGTTCTCCTCACCTCCAATTCCCATGTTTCTTGAAAGAAAAGATTTGCAGATAGTGGCTGATGAAGAGCTCAATCCCCCGATCTTGTGCCATATAATTCTCAAAGTAATACCAGTTCTGCAAAGGTGCAGGGGCTATAGCAAGTCTTCAGAAAGACTGGTTAAATCCAGGGTTTGAGGAGCAATTAAAACAGCTTTGTAGATTTTCTGTCATTTCTATTGAGCAAATACTTCTAGTTGAACTACGTCCAGTGTTGCCTTGAAAAATCAACATTAAATCCTTTTATCCTTAGCCTGCCGACATGTTCTTCCTTCAACTAGAAAACCCACTACTAACACTGCTGTGTCATGAGGCTTCCAAGTTCTCAGATATTAATGCACCATGTTATAAAGAGAATTTTAATTGACAAAATTAGGAAATAAAGGTAAGTGGCCTTAAATTCTTCGATACTTCAAGTAGTGCTGCCAAGGCTTACAACCTTGAGGCTGAAGGCCACAGAAGTCTTAAGGACACACAGAGCATGACCGTTTCACTGTATCAAGCTTAGATGTTTGATGTGGTATTTTAAAAAGGTGCATCAGGAAAAAAGGTACAAAATTGTCAACCCTTAAGGAGAGACTGATATGCAGCCCCGCACGAAGGCCAAGCATGAGGCTTATGCAAATTTTTCACAGGGATTAATCTCAGCTGGGTCGAAAAACAGCAGTCTTTAAAATGCAGCCTTATTCCACGAAGTGCAAAGCTCATTCCAAATTCAAATTACAGCCGAGCAGCACTGTGGCAAGTATTCAGGTACAGCAACATGTACCTGAATACATTCATTCATTAGTTCTGTTAAAATTTCAAAGGTTACTTTAAAAGACTCCCAAAACGATGCAGATGAGAAGAAAAAATCAACTTTTTTTTGGGGGGGGGGAAAGGGCAAACATTTTCTGCGCCTTCAATACAATTACTTTGGAGCAGGCAATCAGATTCTGTGCTTTCTATGAAAAATGTGAATTTTTCTAAGCTGACTTGCAGAAGTCATGAACATGTGCCAGCTGACAAGATGTGTTTCTGAGAGGCTAATCCAGGATGTCTCTCCCCTGTAGCACCTATGCTTAACTCTTTCCTACTGATGTGCTAGAAGATAGATACCAAATTCTTTTCTACCACTACAGATTGTGTCAAGTAACTTCCTCTCTCCCCGATACGGCTTTGCGATGATAAAACTTAGGGCCCAGTAAGTCTCATTTTCCCAAATTTCTGAGAGAAATTTGAAAAATTACCTGCAATAGATCTGTTGATGATGGCCTTTCCTGAGGTATTTTCTGCAAGCAGTAATCAACAAATCCCCTAAAGGAGTCCGACCTGTAAATTTAAAAAAAAATATATATATATCTATATGACAAATAAGCTCAGGGTCTGGAATGTATACAGAGAAAATGGCACACAGTGAAAGAAAAGCCTTGATTAATTTGTTCTCAGGTTCCAGGGCACAAAGAGTAACTGGATTTTTCCAAATTCTGGGTAAGTTGATCCCACTTGTTCTCACAACAGTTAAAGACTCATTAAAAACTACCATGGACACACAATTATCACCCACCACAAAGTGAAATAAAACAAACAAAAATGATGTGCCCCAGTCAACAAGATATTTTCAACCCTACTCCCACTAATAAAAAATTAGATGACAGTTAAATTAGCAGTTACTCCAGAAGTGTACTCATTAAGTTAGCTGATGACATGACTCTCTACTCACTAGAAACTTCTGTTTGTAATCCTGACATTTGTAACAGTAAAGTACCTTGGCACACGCATGGTTCAAAGAAACTTTGGGCTATAGGAAAGTTATCATAACTTAACAAAAGAAAAGAGGCCTTCTAGGTGCTCATGAAGCTCAGAAGCAGCATAAAACACACATAGTATAGCAAACAAATGGCTAGAGCCAACCTGCTTGCCATCACAAGTACTGATTATCCTGTGTCCACAGGCTGCTTACGCTCTGTACTGCAAATTGGGTCTAAAAAGAATCTGGGAATGGGTATGCAGATAAGTGACCAAGTGCTTGGAGTTTTGAAAAATGGACAAAGCAGACAGATGATGAAATAAGGACATTAAAGTGAAGTGCTTTGGATAAAATGATTAGCAATTAAATAGTTAATAATGTTACTTCAATGCCTAACTATGCACCTGGGGGAACTTCACACCTCTCCAGGAGCTGCTGGTTCAGCTGTCAGCAGACACTGAAAAGCATCACTCAGGAGCTATGTTCTATTTTTGTGTAATGAGACCAGGAAGTGGGGTAATCCTTTGGATTCTGGACACAAGCTTGGAGAGCATTTGCCAGCTCCAGAGCTCAAATGACATTTGGAAATGCTTCTTCTAAAGTCACTCACTGAACAAAATCTAATTACATCTATTCTATGTACATCTCTCCTCCTCTCGTCCATATTTCAGCTGCAGTGTAAAGCTAACAATACTTCTGTCAGGAATCTTTTGCAGCTGGAAACTTTGCTGATGCTGAGCTAGGCTGGCTTAATGCATCCAAGAACAGTTTAATTCCTACAGTGTCTACAGCCCCATAATTAACACCTCCACACATTTAGATTGTAGCACAGCCAAAGTGACAGAAGGTCAAAAATGAGCCTGCCTACATGGGAGCATTAATCGAGAACACAAGCAAAATCACTGCACTGCAACAAACACTTTTCCTGTCAGATTTTAACTATGCAAAGAGTGTCATAAGAGGATTTCCAGGGAAACAAAACAAAACAAAAAAGGGTAATAGCTCTCTTACCATTCATTTGACTGTAACGTAGGGGAATCATTCTGGGCTATGTGATATAAGGCACTCATTGCATTCATGTTGAAAAGTGGAGGCTTCCTTTCAGCTAGAAAGAGAAGAGAAAGGCATGATAATGCAGTCTGCAAAGAAAGGGAGAAAAGGTCGGGAGGAACAAGCAGGGTATCACTGCCAAATCAGCAGCTCATTACTGTTGTCATCACATCTAAGCCAATTATTTTAATCCTCTAGGTTAGTTCAGGACAGCCACCCAATGAAAGCTGTTATTCACCTGAGGAGGGAATTATGACATCCAAAGAGAACAGGTAATTATGAAGGGAAGTTCCAGTAAATTTTACATTAACTACCATGTTTTACATCTGACTGGCTATGGTAAATCCAGCAGAAGCTGACTACAGCAGAGCTCAGACATGCAGTATGTCAGGGCCAGGAGATTTATGCATCAGTCCCTGCAGATCCTTGATGTGCTGATACGGCACCTGTAGTTAAGGGGAGAGAGGGGCTGCTCACTGCATTTGTCATTGGCAATGACTTGCAGAAGTGGGGCAGCTGGCATCACTTGCCACATACGTCTTCAACTCCCCATAACAAAAGCTCTTCCTAGTCCTTGTGCTTCCGAGAGGGCACCCACCTGCCAACCCCTGAGCTTTCAGGAGTACAGTACCAAGAAAGGTCATTTTTTCACCTCCATCTAAGACCCATCATGTCAATTAATCCATGAAGCCAGGATTAAGTTCATGTCAGGTCAGAGCAACCACTTGTGCTTGACATGCAGCATGCATACAAACCACAGCATCTTTTCCTAGGCACTTGCAGCTACATGAGAAATTAAGACATCAGCATTCAAAGAAAGCCAAGTGGTGCTCATCAAGAGGGATCTTTCCACTGCTACCCTGATCCCATATGTTCTGATGTGGAATCATGCAAGGACAAAGCTCAAAGTTAAATAAAAAGCATAGTACTTCTCAAGTTCATAGCATAATAAAAAAAGAAAGCAAACCCTTCAACTTCAGCTATGCTACATGGCTTTGATGTTCTCGAATGAAAAGCTCCACGCAAGTTCTAATATTAAAACTCAATGGCTATGCAGGGTAGCATAATGCCTACTCTATGATTGTATTTACTCCTCCAGAAGCCAGATAACTTGCTTAAATTCTACATAAAAATCAGCTGTCAGGCTGAAGAGTAAGAGTCTCAAACTGCTGATTTTGCAGCAAAAACAGTTTATATCAAAATACAGACCGTGTCAGCAGTGCATTAGCATTGGCACATGAAACGCAGCACTGGAAGGGAGCAGTCATGAGAGAAGAAAGAAACGATTACCGTCTCCATGTTGGGGTTAACGTTTTCTCCCATTCCTCTTTTCTAACCCATTTTACTGCTGCTGGCTAAACATTTTCAGAAATAGCTTTTTCTTTGAACTTGCCCTCACAATGAATTTCTGATGTATTGCTTTTAAGCATAATCCATATCAAGACTATTTTTAAGATAATCTACTCAGCACATGCAATGTCAATATTCAAACTTAAAGTGCAAACAGCTGCTCTGTATACCTGCTCTCTCATCTACATCTGCTTCAGGTAGTGGGGATGAGTATCATTTGCCCTTTGCAGTGCAAACCCTTTTCTTCTCATGTAAAGAACCTGTCCACGATGATTCACGTCACAAACTTTCAGCTGAGGTTGAAGATTTTTGTTTGTTTCAGAGAATTGGGAAGTAAGAAGAATTGAAAATTAAACATAGGTCCTCTCTGACACACTGGTTTTTAGGACACTGATTCCCTTGGTACAGCAGTTGGTCGAATAAAGTTTTCTCAAAACTCAACTTGTAAAAAATACAGAATACAAACAGCTGCTCCTTCTTTCTGGGAGGAACCATAGAAGTAACAGCATTTTTTTTCTAGAGTAGAGTTATATAAAGATAAAAGAGACAAGACATCTCCTTAGCCCCTATTTGAAATATAGAGGACTTAAGCAAAACTACAGAAATAATCTACAAAATGGATGTACTTTATGATTGGCCCTACATACATATTTCAGGCGAGGTGCATTAGCCCCTCTCATACCAAAGAGTTTTGACTGAACTCATTCCACACCTTCCCTCATCAGCACTTCGGCACTGTATGAACTTAAGTATGAATTTAAGTATCCTCAGTCTCTCACCCATATGGACTATTCCTGCATTACGATGCAGCAATATGGACACAGAACATTACCACCACAGTTCTTGATACTTTCTCAAATTTGCAAATTCAGTTCTACCATTTGTAGAAGATATGCTGGATAAAACAGCTGCTATTTTCAGCCTGAAGCTTTTCCTAACATGCTAAGTGGACACAAGGAAATGATAGACATGTTTGCCCATCACGGATCACAACCTGCTTCTTAGAATCAACTATATCTTCAAGAACACGCTCAGGACATGACAAATAATTTAAGACTGATTCAGGTATGAAATTCCAACAGCTACGTGGGCCCAGACAGTGCTTAGCTGTATAAAGGCCCCAAATAAAAATATTTGTCACACAGGAAGCTAATCTCCACAGGCATAAAGGTCCTGCTTCTCAAGTCTAGCATAAGTATGGCTAACACAAGCATTCATTTGCAATCTAAAAGACAAATTCAGGCAATTCTACTAGGGGGTTCAATCTGCAGAACAGGACTACAAAATGTAGCCTCTCTCTTTTGGGGGGACCTTTTATTCAGAGGAGTCGAAATACGTTATCTGTCAACTTCAGTACATCCTGTTCTGCAAGTGAGCAAAGAACTGCCCAGGACAAAACCTTATGAGACTACAGCCTTTCAGGTGCTAAAGGAATAACTGAGCACACTAGTGTAGTATTAGGTACAACAGCATTAATGGATTGTCTTCATTTGCTAGTGAGGAAAAGATTTGACTCAACTGTGAGTGTTTTCCAAATTAAGGCTTTTAAAAGCATCTTATTGCTTGTAAGATGCTTCTTTCTTTTCATTTTTTCTTCAGGGCATTCTAATAAATTCAGCAAATAGATAATTATTCACCTCAGCTGCCAAGTATTTACTCACCTAACTCAATACATGTGATCCCAAGAGACCAGACATCCACCTTCCCATCATACTGTCCTTCGTCCATAGCGAGGATCACCTCTGGTGCCATCCTACCAACCACAGTGGAAAGCACGCGGGTTAGGGGAGACGCACCGCAATTCCCAGCACGCAGCTTCATCTTCAGCAGTGCAGGGGACTGGAACTTAAGAGAGTCAGCACGGAGCCAAGGAAAGCCATGCTGAAATAAAACAATGCTTGCCTGCACTAGCAGTCCTTCCAGGAGACATCTTTAAGAAAGAAAAATAAGAGGCCAACCCGTTCCTCTTGCTGTTAACGCAATGTGCTGGCATGTGGGAGATCCGCACCAATCTCAAAGGCATTGTGCCTGCAGGCAGTCAGCACGAGCTGGGGGAGTCCTAATGGCATCATTTTTACTCTCCCCTGAGATGGGGGGTTTCCTTTGGCACACCAGGAGAATTTTCCAGCACGTATGTGAGGGGAGCTACGAGAGGAACAGGGAAATCTGGAAAAGTGGGGAAATACAGCGGTCCAGAACTGAGGAATGAGCAGGGAATAAAAAAAAAGATGACCAAAAAAAAAAAGAAAAAGAAAAAAAAGGAAAAAAAAAAAGGGAGAAAAAAAAAAAGGCGCAGCAGACCCGCCTGCAAAAATTCAGCCTCTTAACTTTTGGTTCTTCAAAGATGGAGCAGGCTTCCTGCCAAATGTTGTTCAGAGGTTGGGCGATAGGCGACCTCCCATCAATGCCTGGGGCGTCTGCCACAAAATAAATGGAGTGTAAAGCTATGCTGGGCACTATGGTAGGAATGCCAAGCAACAGAGTTTCTTCAAAACAGAACCTAAGTATAGCTTCCAGTCTGCAAAACCACTTAGCAAGTGTCCCCTTCTCCAGGGGCTTGCCCGAGTTCAGTATCTATGGCAAATATCTGTAATTTTTAAGCCAATGACATTGTAACAGTCAAAACATTTACTGGTGCCATTTTAAACTGCTGCCAAACCTACCTCTACTCAGGCACTGAGAAAGAGCTGCACATGGAAATTTTAAATAACTACTTGGCGAAGTAGCAAGATTTCTTTTTTTAATGCTGGATATTATTTTCAGTTTGTGAAATCCTGTAACAGAGAGAGCAGTTTCATCTAGGACTGAAGTATCCCGTGTTTTACTCACCAGTAAGGTGTCCCCACAAAAGAATTGGCAGGGCAGATTATAGAGGCAGAGCCAAAATCAGCTAGTTTCACTTGACCTGGTTCTGTTAGAAGAATATTTCCAGCTTTAATATCCCTTTAAAAGAAAAGGAAATGCATTTCTGGTCATGACAGAACTTTCAAAATATACAGACACACAGAAAATCATTAACTTGTCTCAAACATTTAGAAACCTAATATTATGTCTTGGTCTTTTAGATAGACCAAGTATGTAACTATATCTAACATACATAACTATAACTATCTATTAGATAGACCAAGTATATACCTTTACTGAGGATGGAAACTGAAGTAGTTTCAAAGAAGGGAAGAAGAAATATGTGTCTCAGAGAGATGCATTCAAACACCCAAATGTGACACCTTTAATAATACCAGGCATGTTATTTTCATCACTGAAATGCCCTAGGATTCCTTAGGTTATTCTTCATACAACTTTCAGATAATTCATACATTTAAGAGATTAACAATAATGAGGCCACTACAACATGAAAGGCACAATACACATTCGGCACCTTTGAACTGTAAATTTCTGAATTCCATCCAGAAGTGAGTTAAACTCAGATTAACTGCCCATAAAATGCAGACAAAGGTTAAACCAATTACATATATTCCAAGACACTTAGTGAAGGGCCTATTCAGCGTTAGAAATGAATGTATCTAAGTACCATTTACTTTAACCCCCTGGGCTTCTGCAGGCTTGTCTAACTGAAATATCTTATTTTCTTCTATCTCCTCTAACATGGAAACAGAGGGGCTGCTTTCAGAAATTCAGTTTACTTACATACTGTCCCCTGGAAGTCATCATCTAGTCATGTCCCCTAAAATCCTGAGACAGCACTTTGATAACAAAGGGAAAAAAGTATCCTAGAGATGCCAGGGATGCCTTTGCATTATAGCACCTTGGAGATTTGCTTTTCCAAAAGCAGACCATCACTATAAATGGTAGGTGTGCAATGGATCTCTGCTTAGTGAGGCTGTTAACACCATGTAAGTTATAATGCCTTTGCATTAAAAAGATTTATATATATCTAAAATATAATCAAATGTATATTTATATACACACACACAGATATATTTATAGAGAGACACAAAGAGAGAGCAGAAAAGAACATATTAAGAAAAAAATAGCTTTTAAAAATTGGTGATCAACTGTAAGCCCAAGATCAAAAAGTTCTTATTAATAGTACGACACCTCCAACACAAACAAGCTGCTGTGCATTAGCAAACATGCTCTGACCCCGTGGTAAAGCAAGCTAGTTTGAAAAATGGGAGGGGAAAAAAAAGCAACCGTGTGTTTGCTGCAGAGTAAGAGAATACACTGAACTACTGTATAGGAGCTGGAACATTATAATTTGTGCATCCAGTGTCACTGTAGACCCAGAGGGTCAGGCAAACAAAGTCTCTCCAAATTTAGCAGACACTGGTGAGACACCCCTCGCTCCGAAGGGCAGCGCACAGAATAGGCAAAGCTGGGACCATCAGAGCCGCAGAGACAGGAATATCCTTCCAGCAGCGGTTCTGGAGTCAGAACCTGTATTCCTTCATTCCCAGTGCACTATGGCTTCAAAACCAAGGTTGCAGTAACTTTCCAGAGAATTTTTGCACACACCTAGTGCTCAGAAACAAGCCCGATGGAGCTTCATGGGTTTGGTCTGCGCGCCTGATACTTCTGCGGGAAGAGAAGTACCAGACGACGTCCCGTATGTGCAAGAATGAGCACCTCAAACACAGGTTGTCATCTTTGCTCTCGTCTCCAGAGCTATCCTCCCTTTACAGCAGCAATAGAGGGCTCAGCAGCCCCTCCTGAAGCTAACACAGCCCCACAGCAAAGGCTTGTGCCCAGAAAGAGAGGCACTGCCCCAAGCACCGCGGACGCTGAACACATTACAGCTGCACCTGCAAAACCCTCGGTGCTAAGCAGGTATATCTGCAAGCTTCAGTGGATCTTGTACTGCAATTTAGCAGGACACAATCTAATCCTGCACTATCCATCCCATGTGGAACGCAGGATGCAAGACCAGCCTTGCTTTTTCCTGCATCTCCACAAGATGTCCCTCCGTTCTAGGTCATCCTCTTTTGGCTTTGCTCCCTGCAGGGCTGGGACACCGAAGCCATCCCAGCTGCCAGCTTGGGTCCTTTTTCCACCCTGCCCCGCTTCATTCATTTGCTTTACTTTTCCAAGGGGTGGTAGAACTCTGAGGGAAATACCTCAGAAAAAGAACTTTTTCTGCTCTGGTAAGAGCAAATATACAAAGAGTCAATCTTAAATCATTCTGATTTAATTTAATTGGCATTCTGCTTTGAATGAATATTTTACATAAATCTCCTTTAATACCCTTGTGTAGATATGTCCTAAATGGCAATTTTAACACATGACAAATAATTCCCATCTCTGGAAAAAACACCTCACCGTCTCAGCCTCAAACAGACCAACTTTCTGCCTAAGGCCTGCCAGCAGACTACAAAGAAGCTTTTAGCCCTATAGTCTCACACAGCCTCAGTTTAATAAGTCTTCGCTTAGATAACACTCATCTATCACTCACCCTTTTCACAGCAAGTCCCTGGCATAAAATATCAATAATCCTCCAAAAAACTGCAAAAATATAAAATAAAAAATATAGAAGACTCATTTTGATTCTTCGCTACCAGTATTTGAAGAGAAAAATCTCTCCATGGCAGAGATCTCTGCACTGGACGGTCCCCCCACTAAATTATTTCAGCCAAAGGAAAGTGTCTCCAAGAGCTGACACCTTTTATTTATAAATCCACGCTGGCATGAGGAGCCGGGTGCCAGCAGCCTTACCGGTGTATCTTGGAGTGGGAGTGCAGGTAGGCCAGCCCCTGCAAGGCACCGTGAGTAATGGCAGCAATCTCCACTTCCTGAAGTGGCTTCTTGTGAACTAAAGGGGGAAAAATAATCAAGAAAAGGGTTAAGTGTGATGTCTTTCACAGCACACTTTTTACTTTTTCATTTTTAAAAAGTAAAGGAACCCCCAACTTTGCCAGCCACAACATGAATGCTGACCCTGGCATCCTAATTCCCTGTGGCCTGGTGGCCATTGGTGGCTTAGAGCCTGCGTACAGCCTGGGCACATATTTCACATCATCTACAACCACATTTTTCCCTTCCTCCTTTTCTCTCATACTACTCTTAAGGCCAATACTTACTGTTAACACAAGGGATATTTTTGAGTAGAGCTTGCCAAATATATGTGAACCCTTGTTTAGTTTTTCAAAGCACACACCACAGATCCCCAAATATGACCACCAGGTGCCCATGGCTGATGTATCTTAGATGCAAAAGATACAGCCCATGAGGAGTATTAGTTTTAGCAAACTATAGCTGGGATTCCGTACTCCTCTACAGACCCTACAGTTTTAGTTTTGAGGTCACATTATTCTCCTGTTTCATAAAACTATCTATAATTATTCCTATAAACTGCCAAACAAGGACAAGAGTGGTCTTTATGCGTTATTACGGATATCCAGATAACAGGCAGTCTGCTTCAGACATCAAGGATGTGTGAATTACAGGAATATAGTTGTATTCATTTATACTTTCATTACATGACATAAAAATGTGTATGTCAAGCGTACACTGTAGCAGCCTCCTGCGATAGCCATAGCCTCCCCTTCATGCCACAAACAGAGACAGAATGAAGCAGCACAGACTGCCCCTACCATTTGCAAAATACCAGTATCTAAGAGAAAATGGCCTCCCAGCATAGTCCAAGTGGGCACTAGAAGAAATAAAACCAAATAATACATAAAACTTACCCTCTAGCAAATCAGAGGCTGAACCTAAACAGTACTCCATAACCAACTGCAAGAAAAAAAAAGTGTTTTTAAATAATAAGGTAGATACTGTTGATGTTCTCCCACAAACAATTATTGTTTAGAGTCTCAGAAATACTAGAAAAAAAGAAAATTTAAAGCTGCAAGAAATACAAAAAGCAATGAATAACAAAGTGCTCTAATAAATTGCAGCAATAACATGACATCCCACATTCTGCAAGGAAAGCTGGGGCACTGGGAAGTTTGTGAGGAGATGCTGTAAAGGATGCCCAATAATAAGGCCAAGCAGCTTTGCTTAATCTCTATGAAGATTATTAAACTGCCTCAGAGAAGCAGGGTTTTCTTCCAATGCCTCAAATTTCCATTCCCTTTAAGTTCCTTGGAAATGTCCTCATGTGAAAGGGACTACAAGCAGCATGGGGTGAATACTGCTGCATGTAAAGGCACCGTGTATGTATTGAATATTTGGCTATGCTGCAGTTGTGTGTTGTGTTCAGGAAGGCCTGCGTGCCAGGCCACGCTCACTCACCCATGCCGTATGCTCTTTCAGGTAACATCCCTTATACTCTATGGTGTTGGGGTGCTTCAGCTGTTGCAGAAACTTGACTTCTTTGATGATATCCTGCCATTTCTATTGAAAAAGCAGAAGATATGAATCATTTATCAGCTTAAACCTTTCATGCTCTCATACCCCCACATCTGAAAAAGTGACCTTACAGCAGTTTTACACCCCTTTTCACTTTCCACATTAATAATGTAAACACATCTTAGCTGCCAGACTCATTTTTTCTCTCAGTGATATACTGATCACAGAAAGATACTCCAACTGTATCAGAAAACCGAATAGTCTAGCTTTCTAATGTCAAACCAGACTTTTTTTTCCATTGCTTGCCCATCCAGGCTAGCTGCTTCTCCAGGTTCATGCTGGCAGCTCTGTAGAGAAAGACCTGGGCGTTGTGGTGGACAACTAGCTGACCATGAGGCAGCAGGTGCCCTCGTGGCCAAGAAGGCCAATGGGATCCTGGGGTGCATTAAGAAGAGCGTTTCCAGAGGGGCCACACTGACCCCCTGCCCTGGTGAGGCCGCATCTGGAGTACTGTGTCCAGTTCTGGGCTCCACCGTACAAGAGGGATGTGGAGCTGCTGGAGAGAGTCCAGCGCAGGGCCACAAGGATGATCAGGGGCCTGGAACATCTGCCCTATGAGGAGAGGCTGAGGGAGCTGGGCCTGTTCAGCTGGAAAAGAGAAGGCTAAGAAGGGAGCTGATCAGTGTCTAGAAGTACCTCAAGGGAGGCAGTGAGGAGGACGGTGCTGGTCTCTTTTCAGTGGTGGCCACTGATAGGACTAGAGGAAATGGCCGGAAACTGAAACATCAAAAATTCCATAGGAACTTAAGGAAAAATTTCTTAACAGTGAGGGTGACAGAGCACTGGAACAGGCTGCCCAGAGAGGTTGTGGAGTCTCCTTCTCTGGAGATCTTCAAAACCCGCTTGGACGCAGTCCTGTGCCACGTGCTCTAGGTGATCCTGCGTGTGCAGGGGGGTTGGACTAGGTGATCTCTAGAGGTCCCTTCCAACCCTAAGCATTCTATGATTCTTTGATTAACCTCACAGAAAGAAGGGCCTCCTCTTAACAGTACTTTTAAGATTACCTATAGTCAAGCAATGCCAATTGTGAAGAGAAAAGTGATCCAAAAGGCATGGACTGAAATTTAATTGGTCAAAATAAAACATGCTGTTATTCAGCAGCTAGACAGTAATACTGTGTATCTATCCCTTCCCGGATATAAACAGTTCTAGGGTTATTTTATTATTCTCTCTCTCTGTACTGCAAAATCACACATATAGTCTTGCCTATGAAACAGTAGTTTCCAAAGCCCCACTGTGCTAGAGTCTAAATCCCTTTTATATTAAGATCCGGAAGAAACAGCTAGCTTGAGGGCTTCCAAATGCACTTGTACCATTTTATTTGCATACATTTTACCCCAAAGCACTGCTGCTGTTTGTATAACGAACTAGCTAGTGGTCTCAAACGTAGTGGCAAACCCAACTGCCCCAAAGTGGACAACAACAACAACACAGTACGGTTGAAATACCGATGGTATCAAGTAGTTGTTTGCTCCCTTCAGTGACAGCATGAGGCCACTGGCATTTGGAAGAGCACCATGACATTTACACACAGCTTATGGGGGAGAGCAACAGGTAGGAAGGAGAAATGCAACAGCTACTGCATGCACACCCAGCTTCATTCACCTCACCTCGTTCGTTTGCTTCCCACTGTAGGACATTTTCTTGACTGCCACCACCTCATTAGTGTGGGAATTTGTAGCCTGAAGAAGAAAAGAAAGTAATTGAAGAAAAAGTCTCATTTTTTTCTTCCCCTCGCTGTGGAGTCAGCTGTGCTTTTGGCAAACATAGATGTCTTCTCCTTTGTCACATCCTGGCAAACTCCCATGCTGCAGGACATCATCTTCGTGATAAGATTTATCAATCATGACCACCCTCCTTTAACTTCATCCATCTGTGAACATCCCCTGACCTCCTTCAGCCCTTGCTTCACTTGTTACCTCTTCACTGAGGCAATGCACTTGGGAGAACATGCAAAACAGTTTTATCGGAATTGCAGTAAAAGCAGTTTTAGATAAATTTTGGGAAAAATATTTGCCCAGGAAAAAATGAAGAGATGCACGTAAATCTCTACTTTCATCCCAAAAACATAAAACACTGATATTCTCAAACAACTATTTGTATTTTCAACTTCAAAATGGCACTTGGTTTTGGAATTTATCTCCATTTAAAAAACAGCAGCCTTCCTCTCACTGCACATTCTTTCACTTTAAAATAATGTCTTTTGGGGGGTTTTGTGCATAGCAAAGGGAAAAATTATTTTACAATCACAAAAAGTAAAAGACAGACAGTGTAAGTTCTGTTTGACTCAACAAAGGAAAACAAATTTAAGTTGTAGACAAAATTACAGTGAGGACTGTGTTTTAGGACCATGGAGGACTACACAACAACCCGGCAAAGCTAAATGCCCTTCAGGCACTGACCCCAGGACACTAAAAGGAGAACAAATTTCACCTAAAATTTTGGTGAAAATTTTTCATCATATTTACTATACAAAAATTTGAATTTCTAAATATTTCAGTGGGCTTACTAATCTGCACTGATATTCATCGAACACTGCATCAAGCTAATCAAATAAAATGTAAGGGCTCCAACATGACAGGGAAGGCATTCGCGCCTTAAATTCTTCCTTTCCCTCGAAACCAAACTCTTTGGTTGGTGCATTTCCAGCATTAAGACAAAGGCTGCATCAAGATTTTCATTGCACTACACCTAGTTTTGGTTTAAAACTGAGTAAGAGGAGATAGATGTGCCAAGGCTGCTTTGGTCCACTTGCATTCAGTATCAGACTATCCTTGAAGGTTTCTTCTTCACAGGCTGATGGAGCTCCTTGAACCTCGTGCAATCAAGGCAGGTTTTTGTGACTTGGCTACAACTCAAGGCAACCTCCTGTTGGTGAAGAACAGACCCCCTTCCGAACACCGTACGTAGAATTATAGAGCAATTTATGTTGGTTTTCCAGAGCTACTACAAAGGAATGCTTTGAAATAGCAAATGGAGTCAGTGTAATCCACTTCTGTTATGAAATTGGGTCACCTAACGTAGGCCATCCGCACACAGTTGTTCTCTTGACTGTCAGCAGCTGAACAGATGTCAAATTATGGAGCTGTGCTATTCATCTACAGGCAAACCACCAAATTCAAACCTCAATTGTGGAAACGAGTTTAAAGGCAGACTGTAAAAATCTCAGGACAGTTACATTTTCCACAAAAATTGCCAGACCCCAAATACCACCTGTGTTAATGCAAAAACGCACCTCTTCAAACAAGCCCTGTGGAGAGCTGATAACCAGTTCATACAATTCAACAAGCCAAAGGATTTGCAGTAAACCTGGCACAGTTACAAAGCTGCCTTCAGCCTGGTCAGCTTAGTGTTGCATGGAGAGCACTGCTATCTGAAAAGCCTTCTTGGAGAAGTGACCAGCAAAGCCACGTCTAGACCTCGAGTCTTGCTGTGAGTGTTATTTTCACACCACTCACTCCTTTTCCGTCACTGAAATGTAACACTCAGCCCCTTTATTTTTGCTTTCTTCACTGAAGAGCTGAGCTTCAAGCTGTAAATTAACCCTTGCAGACAGGATGTGTACTACACTTGAGTAAGAATGTATTAATTAGAGATATTTTGTGACAGTCACAGTGACTTCAAAGGTGCAGGGTGAATCAGAAAAGCATTGCCCTTAACGGAAGCTGATATCAACCTGCTTAGCAAAAGCCTGACACCAGACAAGGTGAAAAATCACACCCTGCTCTTCACAGGGCAGTTTTCATCAACTAAATTACAGAAAGTAGAAAACAAATTGCTTTTGGAGAAGACAAAACCCTTCCTAACCACTCATCACTCCAATCCAGCACCTAAAATGTGAATGCCAATAGGAGAGTTAAACAATTCTCCAAGGATTTCTGTCTGTCACAGTCACGCTGGATGCCTTCTCAGCAACGTAAGAAGTTCTCCTGTTTCTGCTGCCAAATCTCCTTCATTTACCCCATTCTCATTTGCTTTATCACTCTTTCATACAGAGCATAAGTCTAACAAGGTTGTTATTATTTCTGATGAAGCTATGCTTTTGTAATCAAGTACAAATTTTACCTAGTCAGCATTTAGTTTCAAAACCTTGTAACAAGCAACAAACTTCTCAGCCTTCGGATATGCAAAGCATCATCTCTTTCTGCCAGGAAAAGAAATCTGAAATTATTTATCTTGCCACGCACAGACAATATGCAGGCAAACAAAACAGCTTGCAAAAATAAGCCTTCATTGAGGCTTATATTAGAACATTGTAGTAACTCGCCCCACTAAAACCAACAACCATGAAAACAGGCTCTGCATTGAGCATTCACCCATGGGCAAGTTCTGCCCCAGCTGCTCCTGGACCAAAAGACCTCAGAGGACTCTTCTTGGGGCCAGTTAGTAGAGAGGAGAGCAAGGTGCTAAGCACGTAGCCATCTTCCCAGCACCCAGTCTTTGCCTCCAAAAAGAATGCAAACATGCTCTAAGTGGACATCAAAACCACCTACCAGTCCTGAAGCTACAATGCCCAAGCCCTCCGCTGTTTTTAACCAGGTCCTGCCCTCTTTCTGGATGGCCATCACGTAGCAGTTGGAGACGCAACCTTTCCCCACCGCTGCTGCTTCTCCTTTTTCATTAAGGATGGACATTTCTTCCATAGCTGTCACAGGTTTTGTGAGTAGCCCCAAGGTTTAAACAGGAGGACATTTATTTATATTTATCACATTTCTTTAAATCTCACTTTTGATATTTCCCCCAGAACACTGAGCTTAAGTACAGCAGGGGGACTGCCACCATACAGCAAGACAGACAATTTCTCTTTCTAGATTGGCATGTCCTTTGAAATCCAAACATGCACTTCAGACTGCCCTGAACGCCAATGCACCTCAGTGAGGGGAAGAAAAAAAAGTAAAAAAATAAAAAAACTTGGCTCATTAGCCAAACTGATAATGATTTGGCTCAGAACTTTTAGTAAGGAAAACTCACATGAATATTTCTCTTAATTTTCTGATGGGAAAAAAGGTCCCATAGGTGGCTCTCTACGAAAGAGAGAATCTCTACAAATATTATCACATATAAATGATGGGAGATGGAAGGGAGATGCTGTCACTTAGACAGCCCTGTTCCTTTCAAGGTTTTTGATGTATTTCTCCATTCTCAATGCCAAGCATGTCCGGGTGCCTACAAATCCTGCAATGACTGAGATCTTATTTGTGTCCCCTCCCTCACTCCAAGATGCTCTGGGGTCAAGATGCAAGAGAGGCTATAAAAGCTTTTAAAAAGGAGGGAAAACAAACCCTGGGCTTCAGAAGTGGCTGAAGAGACTGTTGAGGACGTGGTGGAAGCAGAGACTTTCCAAGGCCTGGGCTGTTGTGCAGCCACAACCACGCAGGAGATCAATGAATTCCAGTTTGCTCCTTACGAGGACTCCAAAAGACAATGCACAAGCTTCATGCACAGAAAGTAAAGTTTAAAACAGTGCCAGAGAAGTCGGGGATGTACTATGAGAAAGTAGAGATTCCAGATTATATATTCCAGGATTATACTTTAATTATATTATTGCTTATCTGAAATAAAAATATCAGGGTCCTCTCCTATTTTAATAGCAGTTCCACAAACACTTCCACCCCTGCCTAACATTGCATAAAAACAGGGAATTGAAACAGAGTGCCTGTAAATAATTCATGCTGGTTACCACCATCTTCCACTGTGACAGATGTAAGGTTGCATATCTAGACTCTGCAAAGTCTGATATTCAGACATCTAAATCCTATTGAACTTGACCTTCTATTGATCATCACACAACCTCCTTTCCCCTGGAAGTCTCACTCCTCCTAAGATCTTCTCCTCACTTTTGCCTGCAAGCATTTGCTATTGAAGATGGCACGTATGTGATGATAAAGCAGAATGACACTTAAAAGATGTCTCTAACTCCTAAATAATCAGGGAAGTTACTCAAAGATCTGAAGGCAGTCTTGATACGACTTCCACAGTATCTTTACACCATGCCAATTCATTAACAAAAGTAGCTTTTAATGCCAATTTTGAATGCTTAATTCACTGAATCTATTAGTTTGCAAAAATTTAAAAGTATATGAGCACAAAGTAGAGTATCTTGAAATTCCCGTTCAACAATTTCCAACTGCTTAAATACAACCTTCAGCATCTGAAAGGTTGCATGTACTATTCAGACTGCAGTATCAGCTGCTACGATATATACTAGCTGTTACATTAATGAGCTCAACAGTGCTCACATTTTTAGATATGCTAAGACAAAAAGTCCTAAGAGCTAGAAGGACGTTCACTTTTACAAGTGCTGAACGTCTACAAAATATCACTGAAAATGACTCAGTTTTTAAAAACGTTAAGCACTATACTCACAAAGTAAACTGCTCCAAAACTTCCATGGCCGATTTCATGTAAACCCACAAATATTTCTTCAGGATCATCTTTGTAGAACAGGTCAGCTATTTCTGGGTCCTTTGGCACCCCTTTGCGCATGTTGAACAGTATTAGGAACTAGTTCGCGCTTTCGATTCCCAATCGACTTCTTCCTTCATCGACAACGTAGTTTGTAGACAGCATTCAGCACCTGAGGAAAAAGTTCATTTTCAGTATGTTTCTTTTACACATATTTCTTTCTTGCTGCTTTGACAGCAAAATAAGAGGAAATGCTTTCAGGAGCAATAGATTTCACTATTATTTCCGTCACCTCATTCCTTTTAATTATTAGTCTAATTTAGATATAGAGATTAAAAAGCATTCAAAGAGTATAACAGTGCTTATCTCATACAGGAAGCAAGAGCTGCAGCTACACTAAAGTCCACTTGAAGACAAAAGTCCTGTTGCTAAGCAAAACATCCTGTGAATTGAGTTTGTTATTCTTAATGCTGGTCCCCTAATGTGTCAGTTTTTAGACTGTCACTATTGTTCCTTCTGCTTTTTTTTCCTCTGCTGTTTATTTCTGTGTCCTCTTGCCACCTAGTGCTAATACAAACATTATTTTCTGTTTCATAGAACTACCTTAAAAAAAACGTCCTTTAGTTTTAAGTGCTGTATGACTAGCACTATTGGGTTTTGATGACTCCCAGGACACAGAACTGCTTTTGAAAAATCTCAGACTCCCTCCTATAGAGTAGATCTTTGCTTCCTTTCTATCTTTCTTTAGTACAGACCTATAGTTAGTGCAAAACTGAGTTGCAATTAAAGGAAGATGTAAAAGATTCATCCCAAAAGTTTTGTTTGCAAAATAAACCGCTGGACAGTTTCACCTTTTGCAACAAAATAACCTGAAAAAAAAAATGATGAAAAGGAATGATGGATGCATCTACCCAGCTGCTTTTGCCTTCTGAAGCCCAACCGATGATCTGCAGGTGAGTGAACCACAGCAGGTTCTAACTGTTGTCTGAAGAATGCTCAGAATTATACTTCTGCCTATATAGGTGGGAACCTTACTGATACCACAGCTCTTTCTGGCATAAAAGAAGAAATGGGACTTCCAAAAATATGTACCAAAATGTGCAGCACACTTCATGTTATAAACCAGCGTAACATTTGAGAAAGGACTGACCAAGAAACAACAATTAGATAAAATAGAATGAACATTAGAAGTTTAAGTAGGTTCCAGGCTGCAAGTGCCATCCAGATAGATCGGTGATAGAAGAGCATAATTTTGGTATGAGACAGAGAGGTTCCTTGGCTCAGCACACAGTAAGTTCTGGTTCATCAGCCTACCTGGGTAACTGTGGCACTAAGCATGCTCTGTGGCTTAGACTCCTTTCAGCAGCAGTCGTGTGCTCTGTTATCTCCCCAAAGTCTACGCACACCCTTATTCTGCAAAGAAAAACAAATATAAACAAAAATAAATACATATTTCAGCCTTTTTGTACTTCATGCATAAAAATACTGCATTTAAAGCTCACTGACTACCAAGAGATCACTTGGAAGTGTAGGTAAAAGGAATATGGACAATACAGGGCAGTGATCTGCCCTTTCCCTTTGGGTGAAGATACCTCTTGTGTTCTATAACCCTCAGGCTCGTGCTAGATATGACAGGAAGCCAGAAAAAGCAGTTAAAGGCTAAATTCTTCCAGCTGGACCCATCAGCTGAGATCATACCCAGGTTGCTCACAGTTAAGGAGATAGTTGGCTGCAGTCACACACACCTTCCAGCATAACACCACCCTCTAAGGCCCATCTTTCAGTAATAGAAACATACTGACAGCTCAAAATTAACTTGCCTTCAAAAAAGGAAATAGCCACAAAAAATAGCCACATCTATAGGAAAAACACCTCAAGTATAGCATGCTGCTAAAGCTGTATTGCCCAAACATTTATAGTATATACCTGAATTAATGACCAAAGCAAATAACCTGCCTTCACATCTATTAGCAAGGAACTTTGCAGACAGAAATCGTCCTGTTGGTTGCTAACATTACCTTTTTTTTTTTTTTTGGGCTACTGCCTTGAACACACAGTAATAAAATTGAGCTGTTCAAAAAATTTTTGAAGACCTCAAAAAAAAAGGATCTGCAATGTTTTAGCTAAAGTCAGCAATGCTTTAATTGAAAAGAAAACAATCATAGGAATAAATTGATAAAAACTCAGATGAATTTTATGATTATTCACACTCAGCTGATCGACCTCACCCTAAAGGTGCGATATTTACTACATGCCTCCAGACATGGGCAAAGAATGTGGTATTTCAGGTCTGGCATCCTCCAGCCAAGTGAAAAGTCCATCTGGCTTTAGAACAATAAAAGCAGAATGAGGAAAGAAAACAATTTATTCACCTCTAGTCAAACAAATTTCTCTGACGTAACCAAATTACCAACACTGTGGTTCCTCAAGATTTTAAAAATATATAATGCTTACAGTGCTCCCCAATGCACCTACCGTGAGCATCTGCAGAGCTGGGCTTGTCCTGGAAACGCTCCCAGGGAGAAGACAACCCAAAGCAATTTCCTAGTCCCAATTTCCTACTCTTAATGTTCATTAAAAATGAACTTAGTGTAATACCTAGGGAAAATAGTTAATACAAACGGCATCTCTTCCAGAGCTTCCTGGTGGGCAGCAGGGAAACAACACACAATATTCGCTGCAGCAACAGGAGATTTATAATCTGAGTTTTACTGTTGTTTTTGTATATTAGAAAATTTCTCTGGAGTGAGGACTGGATTTTAAAGGCCTGTAACTACTCCACTTACATCCCTGTGCATAAAGGGCTCTGGTATCCACATGCCAGAGTGCTTCCACGATGGGACAAGCCAGGAATCGAGGAAGTCTTCGAGACCATGTGGCTCCAGCAGGGAACACAACCCACCGCCACCTTCTCACTTTTGGGTGAAGTTGCTGTAGTTCTAGTCTGCTACCACAGTGTTTTTAGCATTCTCTGCTCCTCATTTATACTTAATGGCACAGTTATCAGATGCTTTTAGTGGAAGATGACGGGAGGCCTCGTTATGGCATTTGTAGGAGAAATGACTGGAGAAACTAGCACAGTTTAAATGAATGAAAAATTTGAGTCCTTGACTTGCATAGAAATGAAACATCAAAACGTAACTTGCGAGTGCTTTCAAGCAGACCCAGACTATCCATCCTTCCAAACATTCCACATATCTAAAACTATATCCATGCACACACAGGGCCCTGAGGAGAGGCACAATGCGGCCCTCACCCATCACCTTAACTCGCTTTCAAAAAATGAGCAACGTTTTTCCAAGTCTTAAACTGACAAAAAGCTCCCTAGCCTGCTGGAATAGTTTGTCTCGACGCAAAATAACAGCGCTCACAAGAGCTAGGAGTCAACGGCAGCCTTTTCTCTTCAAGCTTCTCTCACAGAAGACAGACATATTTTTTGGAGGGGACAACACACGCAAGGGCATGTCTGAAGAAATTAAACTTCTCGTTAGCTAAACTGAGAGCAAAAAATCAGACTCCCCAGTCAAGCTCCATCACTTCCAGCCTTTCTTTCCAACAGTTTCAAGCGCTCCTACGAAAAGGAAGGAGTGCAAAGACTTCATTACAGGTCAGGGTTGGTAGCCACCAGCTCAGTTTGAGGTAGTTGCCGTACCTAAAAACTCTATTATATATCCAGGTTTTAAAACATCACCTCACAGGGGATCTCATCTACTGGAATAAATTTCCTGATGAAGAACAAAGTTTTTCTGTTTGTTTGTTTCTCTCCTCAAGGAGCCCGGGAGCATCCGTGGCAGCCAAAGCCATTTACCCCGGGCCACCCTCCCTCGCCATGGCGCGGCTCCGACCTCAGCACGTTATAAAGGACAAACGTTTTGACCCGTCTGGTGGAGATGGTTTATAGCGTTATCCTGACAGTTTTGCAGCCATTAAAAAAAAAAAAAAAAAATCAAATCACACAATGTTTTAATGACAAAATTGAGAGGAAGCTCTGAGTGGGTGAAAACCTCAGGGAATTAGCCTAATTAGGAAAATCATCAAAAATAACAAAAAATAGATAATTCCAAATTTTGCCTGCAGGCAGCATTTTAAGAGTAAACTGGAATTCAGCATATGACAGAGCAATGCATTAAGACTTTTACTACCAAAAAACTTGTCTCCTACAGGCAACAGCCCCTGAATTTTCTCTCTGCTTTGCTAAACAGGTAAAACAGCAGCTACCCAAGACAATGAAGTAGAATATTTGAAAAACCTTTTCAAAAACCTACAGTACTACACAGATACTAAAAAAAAAAGAAAAGCCACTAAATCCAAATGAGATAAAAAGATCACCATTCTTCACAATAAATGCATAATGAAAAAGCAAAGCATGACAAAGGACACTAAGTGACACTTCCTAACTGTCTTCCAGTTAAATTTAAAGCAATGTAATGAAAACATGTATGCCCTTATATTGCTTAAAGATAACTAACAGTATAACATTACCAGGATCAAATGCAATTCTTTAATCACTACAAAATCTGAGTGCATTAGTGCAGTTTTGCAGGTTTATTTGAGGAGCTTAAATATCTAAGTAACAAAATAAACTTCATATGGTTAAAAAAAGTAAAGAAACCAGCTTCTTGCTCTAAACAAGATTTCATTAGTGTTTCATGACGGCACCCTCGAAATAATTCAAGAGTACATTCGCAAGGGAAAAAAGGATACACGAATCAGATTTTAAATCCTGATGCGTGTAAGGCCAAGCAACATCACGCAGCGAAATGAGTTTCATGCAAGATTCATCTTCTCATCAGAGCATCCCCAAGCCCCACATACAGATCATGAAGTTGAGGAGAAAAAAAGATTTAAATGCTAAAGCCAGCTTTATTGTCCTTTTTATTTATTATGCTTCCATAGCGCTCTGCACAAATATAGCCTCCTGACTACCCTATGTACCATGCACATAGAAGCTGGGTAATTTGCTTACGAAAGTCTGAAGAGGCACCAGCAGCCTCCGTTTCCTACACATCAGTGCAACCACCTCGAAAGAGTCACATCCATTTTGCATTTCAATGCTATTTTTAGGTATTTCTAAATAGTTTCTACTTTGACTGAAGCGTAATCCAACAAGAAACCACCGTAACTGGATAAATCTTTTTCTGTGGGGGTGAACCTGAAGCGCCCGGCGCGACGCGCTGCAAGTGCCACCGGCGCAGGAGTCACCGCGGTGGCTGCAGCTCTATGGGCTGCGAGGGCAGTTGGAGCCCAGAGCCTAACGAGGCAGCAGACGCATCTCCCCGCGCCCTTCAGAAACTGCGTTCCAAACTATATGAGATTATTTGCTCTAACAAACTCGACAGGTTGGAAAAAAACATGTCCATGACATCAGGATTTGACCCTCAGAAATAAGCCAGAAACTGAAGAGAGGTGATTTTTTTATGGGGTTTCATATATACTTGTATAGGAAAAGTTCAAGACATGGTTTGCAGCAAAAGGTGTTTTCATTGTACAAATGCAAGACAGTGAATGAGATCATCTGCTGTAACCACACGTTAGTCAAGACATCTATAATGTATCTGTCATGACACTGGCCAGCTCTGAAAAAATAGTTTACTCTTACAGGAAAAAGAAAACCACTTTCTTGCCCTTAGCACTAGCATCTCATAGTACCCCTCTCAGAACATAGCAAACAATCCACAGAACCAGAGTGTTTTTTTTTTCCCCCTTCACTTTTAGCAGACAGATCTTATGCAGACAACAGTGAAGCACGTTCCTCATCATTCCAAGAAACTCCATGGTTTATATGAAGAGCTTCCTATTAAACAACAGTATGAATTTCTAAACAAGGGAGCAGGCTGCAGCGTGCGGCTCCCACCTATACGCTGTGCGCTGGGCAATGGGTTGTCCTCTCCGTCGTGGAGCTTCAGGGAGATTTCCAGACCTCTCGGTGCCTGGGAAGCACCACAGAGAATCTGCCCCAAGCTGCCGGGGCCATCCAGGGGCTCCCCCTGCTCCCGCCTGGAGCCCCATGAATCTCTCCCTGCCAAACACGTCTCCTTTTTATAGATCTCCTTCCTTCCTGCCGCCCTCGGTGCCAGTCGGAGATAAGGCCTTAGGAAACAGCCTTCTTTGACTGCTTGGGTTTATCACTCATACTCGGTCCATGCTCAGCGCCTCACACCCCGCTCTCTTCCTGGCCTATTTACAGCCACTGCTGCAACTATTAACCTATATAAAACGAAGTTTTTCCACACTTGCATCATTAAAAATGACCATACCGTGTCATTCAGAGTCCACTTGCCCAGCAGAACTGGGCACAAAAAAGTTCATTGGGAAAAATTCACAGAATCAGTTATATGAGGAAACCCCATTATTAGAAGAGGCCAAATTTAATCTAGCAGGTACCAGCTAACGCAGAGCCAGTGATTAA